CACATGTGCGCGGCGCTAAGACGAGAGTTACTTTTTGAAAACCACCCGCCCTCAGTCCGTAAGCTCTTGCAAGTTTTAAGAACAACTGTGCGCGGATGTAAGGCGAGAGCCACATTTTGAAAACCTCCCGCCCTCCCTATGTGAAACCGTGTCCACTTTCGTAAGTTTCAGGATCATAAATGGTGAGGAACTCTCAGGTGAGACGCCCTGCCAGCCCTTTCGACCAGCCTCGGGGTGCGACAGGGTGGAGTTACCTATAAGGAATAAGGAATGGAGGAGGACGAGGAGGAGAAGGATGAGGAGGAGGAGGAGGAGGAGGAGGAGGAAAAGGAATAGGGAGCGGCGGCGAGGTCTCATGTGGGGTTGCGCCCACGGGGTGCAGGAATGTAGCGATGGTTGCACGCCTAGTAGCAGCCAAGGACGGCGAGGTCCCCAGTGGGTCTACTGGGCCCCCCAGGGGCGCAGTGAAATGGCGGGAGTTGCGCGCAGCAGCCACGGAGGGCGAGTTTTCGGTCATTCTGCATAGTGCAGCGCTCCGGTGGGCCTCCAGGGGCGCAGGACACCGGCGACAGTTGCATGGGTGTCAGCACCCTCGAAGGAGCTAGTTCTGCGGACGCTTGGAAGGGGGCGGGGGGTGTTTCGAACTGCTCCCCCAGGAATTGCAAAGGGGGCGGTGGTTCGAACATCCCCCCCCTGCCTCTCAAGAGGAGGAGTCAAACCGAAAATGGGGCGGATTACAATTGATTGGGACGGAGTCCATCCATGGTGGTACCAATTCAAACCAGTTCGTACCAACTCGATTGGAAGCTCCTTAGAGATGTCTTGGAGGCTCCTGCGAGATTCCACACAAATTTCTTCGCGACTCCTTGGGATACCTGAAGATCCCCGAGGGATTCCTTAGGGATTCCTGGGAGATTCCTCCGACATTGTTCAGAAATTCCTTAGGGATTCCCAGGGTTTCATCAGCTTTCTTCAGGGGTTCCTCAGGGATTCCTCCGGATTCCTCAGGAATCCCGCACGATTCACCAGGAATTTCTCAGGATTCCTCACAGATTTTGTAGGGTCCCCAAGGAACCTGAGGATTCTCAGGCTTGATGTTCCTCAGGGATTCTTCTGAGATTCCTTAGGCTTCCTTTCAAGAATTTGCATGCTCCTCGTGATTCTTCAGGGATTCCTCGTGATTCCTCAGGGATTCCTTCGAATTCCTCCAGATTCCTCACCGATTCCTGAATGATCCTCGTGATTCGTCAGAGATTGTGCGTGGTTCTGCAGGGAGTCCTCGTGTATCATCCCTCGCGATTCTTCAAATTTTCTTTACCTAACAGCGTTTGCTGATAGGTTTCTAGTAGGGTCAAAAGAGAGCATCATGACTCCTCAGGGGGGTCTGGGCGGGTGCCGGGGAGGAGAACCGGGAATCGTTTTTCGCCAACAGTCACACACTTCGTGCTCTTCGACCTCCCAGAACTCCATTCCCGGGACACATTCTGGAGAACTGGGAACAGAGCTGGGCTCGCTTTTCGCCAACAGTCACACACACATTTCGTGCTCTTCGACCTCCCAGAACTCCATTCCCGGGCCACATTTTGAGTGCCCGGAGCCAACTGTAGGCCACTTCGTGCTCTTCGAGTTCCCAGAACTCCATTCCCGGGCCACATTTTGGATGCCCGGAGCCAACTGTAGGCCACTTCGTGCTCTTCGAGTTCCCAGAACTCCATTCCCGGGCCACTGGAGCACTGTAGGCCACTTCGTGTCTTCGATTTCCCAGAACTCCATTCCCGGGCACATTTTGGATGCCCGGAGCCAACTGTAGGCCACTTCGTGTTCTTCGAGAATCTATTCCTGGGCACATTTGAATGCTGAGGCGGATGATGCTGTGGCCGAGGCAGGCTGAGGCTGAGGCAGGCTGAGGCTGAGGCGAGGGCTGAAGGCTGACTGAGGCTGAGGGCTGAGGAGGCTGAGGCTGAGGCTGAGGCTGAGGCTGAAGCAGGCTGATGCTGAGGCTAGGCTGAGGCTGAGGCTGAGGCTGATGCAGGCTGAGGCTGAGGCAGGCTGAGGCTTGAGGCGAGGCTGAAGGCAGACTGAGGCTGAGGCTGAAGGCTGAGGCTGAGGCAGGCTGAGGCTGAGGCAGGCTGAGGCTGAGGCTGAGGCAGGCTGAGGCTGAGGCTGTGACTGCGACTGCCGTTGCCGCTGCGACTGTCATCGCGAATGCGACTACGACTGCGAGAACAGCATAATTCTACAACTGGATTTTCATTTGAATCTTAAGGGGAATGCTTTCAGATATGCTTCTACATATCGCTGTTAGGTTGCTTTGCCGGGATAATTTGATTATTCAGAGATTCTTGAAGAGTCCCAGAATTTAGAGATTCGTTGGGCTTCCTTAGAGATTCCTCTGGTTTCTATGATTCTGCAGAGATCTTATCAGGAGGCCTCACGATTTTACAGGGTCCTCGTGTTTCTTCAGAGATTCCTCAGGGTTCCCCATGTTTTTTTGTTGTTCCTCTGGGCATTTTTACCTAACAGCTTTTGCTGATAGGTTTCTAGTGGTCTCAAAAGAGAGCATCTGATGACTCCACAGGGGGGTCTGGGCGGGTGCCGGGGAAAAGAACCGGGAACAGAGCCGGGCTCGTTTTTCGCCAACAGTCACACATTTCGTGCTTTTCGACCTCCCAGAACTCCATTCCCGGGCCACATTTTGAATAACCGGAACCAACAGTCACACACTTCGTGCTCTTCGACCTCCCAGAACTCCATTCCCGGGCCACATTTTGGATGCCCGGAGCCAACTGTAGGCCACTTCGTGCTCTTCGAGTTCCCAGAACTCCATTCCCGGGCCACATTTTGGATGCCCGGAGCCAACTGTAGGCCACTTCGTGGTCTTCGAGTTCCCAGAACTCCATTCCCGGGCACATTTTGAATGCCCGGAGCCAACTGTAGGCCACTTCGTGTCTTCGAGTTCCCAGAACTCCACATTTTGAATGCTGAGGCAGGCTGATGCTGAGGCTGAGGCAGGCTGAGGCTGAGGCAGGCTGAGGCTGAGGCCGAGGCTGAAGGCAGACTGAGGTGAGGCTGAGGCTGATCAGGCAGGCTGAGGCTGAGGCTGAGGCTGAGGCAGGCTGAGGCTGAGGCCGAGGCTGAAGGCAGACTGAGGCTGAGGCTGCAGGCTGAGGCTGAGGCTGAGGCAGGCTGAGGCTGAGGCAGGCTGAGGCTGAGGCTGAGGCAGGCTGAGGCTGAGGCTACGACTGTGACTGCCGTTGCCACTGCGACTGTCATCGCGAATGCGACTACGACTGCGAGAACAGCAGAATTCTACAACTGGATTCTCATCTGAATCTTAAGGGGAATGCTTCCAGATATGCTCCTACACATCGCTGTTAGGTTGCTTTGCCGGGATAATTCAAGCACTCGTCGGCGATTCTTTCCAGGATGCCTCGTGATTGTTCAGGGACGCCTTGTCATTCTTCAGAGATTCCCTGGGAATCCTTACGCGTATTCATAGGAGAAACGGTTTCGAGGCCCCACAGAGGCGCATGCGAACCTTTCAGAGGCGCCTGCACGGCTCTCGAAACGCCGCACCGCTTTTGGAGCGGCTCCTGAGAGACGCCTGTCCAGTTCTCATACGCTGATTATACAGGTCTAGTAAGATCGGCGGTCGCTGCGCAGTTTCGAAACAACACAATTCTCACATGTCAGGAAGTACACTAATACCAATTCCAACCGTGGCACCCATGTTGTCACCCATATTGAACCTATACTATTGGGACGTGCATTTGATTTCAGAATCGTCTTAACTTGCTCTACGCATGGAATCTCATTTTTGGCCCAAGATGGCTTGTTGTCATCGGTACCAGTTGGTTTCGTGGCCGGGTGAGAAGTAGCCCAGTTCGTTGTAATTGGTATACCGGTCGGTTGAAAGTGATCTCACATGTGGTTTGAACCCTCCCCCTGCCCCAATTGTTTCCTGAAGGGGGGGTTTGAACCCCCCTTTCCCTTCCAATTCGCCGCCGGCACAAACGTTTCTGCCACGGCGACGACGCCTACGACGACGCCGACGACGTCGACAATGTCAGCGGCGGCGGCGCACCCAGCGCCCGCGAGTAAGGGGTGATCGGCCGACGGCGGCGACGACGACGTTGCTGTTGATGTTGTTGATGATGATCAATTCTCATTTCTCAAGAATCATTGCAGTTGATCCCCCCTGTCCCCCCACGCGGCGAGACGCGGCCGATGCACACCCCTTGAGCACCCCTGCCGCTGCGGCAGTGTGCCAGCAAGCTGTGTGCACTGGACGCGGCCGGCCTGGGCGAGAGCTGGGCGCACATGTGGCCGGATGTCTTCCCCGCGCTCGGCGGGGCGCGCGCAGGGCTTCGCCCGCGCCTCCAGCGCGAGGCCTCCGGGTGCCCCACACGAGAATCTAGCCAATCTGCGTGCCTCAGCTTCTGGGCTTGCAGCCAGCGCAGCTCGCAGACATCCTGACCTCTTCAATGCGCGGTCCCCGGAAGTCCCGACGCTTTCCCGAGGGCCCGCTTGTAGTCTTGGGCAGTTCTCTCGAGGGTCCCGGGGCCGGGCGAGGGTCCCCGAAGGCCGACAGCGACGAAGAACGTCCGCCGTGTCTTGTGCGAGACGCTGGCGGTCTGGGCCCATGCAGTGCCCCCTCGACAGAGCAGGGCCCCCGCCCGCCCTCGCCCTCGGCGCCCCTCGAGGCATCCGCCCTGTCTTTTGGAGGGCGCTGGCGGTCTGGGCCCAGTGCCTCCTCAGCAAAGCAGGGCCCCACTCGGCGACGACGACGACGACGCCGCCGACGCCGACGCCGACGCCGACGACGACGCCGACGCCGACGCCGACGACGCGTCGGCGTCGTCGGCGTCGGCGTCGTCGGCGTCGGCGTCGTCGTCGTCGTCGGCGTCGTCGCCCTCGCCCTCGGCGCCCCTCGAGGCCTTCCGGTGCTGGCTGCAGGTCCTGAGCCGCAAGTGCGCGGACGTGCGCGTGGAGCGGCAGGCCTCGGCGCGCCGCCTCGCCACGGCCCGCCGCCGCGGGTTGCGTCCCCGCGGGCAGCTTCCCAGCGAGCTCCCTCGAGGCTCCAGCGTTACGTCGGGCGTGTCCCTCTACAGAGGGAGTGTTCTCGGAGGGTTGGCCAAATAGTCTGGAGACGATTTCCCATCATTTTTCTGACGGTTTTGGATGATTTGTGAGGTATTCTCAATCTTCCGTCCAAGATCCGCCTGTAGGAGGACATGCCCGACCGAACCCCAGCGGGGTTCGAGGTTCGAGGCTTTCGGCCATGTGGGTCGCCTCGCTCGCAGAACAGGACACGGCATAGACATAAACTTTCGATGGTCCGCGCGGATTTCTTGGATCATCGCTGGGCCTCCCTGGGGGCGCCTCCGGCGCCGGCCAGGGAGGGGGCTGCCCGAACGGATCCGAGAAATCCGCGCAGACCGTCGAGAGTTTATTTCTATGCCGCTTGTGGTTTCTCTTTTCGGCGCTTTTAGGCTCGCGCGTTGCTAATTTGATCGGCCCGTGGCCCGGACCTTTCAACTCGGCGCCTGCGCTTCCGCTTGCGCCTGCGAGGAAAAAAACGGTTTCTCTATTCGCCGTGGCTCCCCCGCCTCCCCTCGGGATGTGTCGGGACGCCGTCCAGCGGCTGCGCCTCGAGGTTCGAATTCTGTCTGCCACTTTCGTGGGCTCGCGGTGGTTTTTCTCGCCCTTGGGATGCCCTCCAGCGGCTGCGTCTCGCCGAGAGCGCTCCGTGGGTGCCCAGATCGTCCCGACCTGCCGCCAGAGACCCGAGTGATGCCCGGAAGCTGGACGACGAGGAACCCTTCTCCCTGCGGGTCCAGGGAGGGTGCGTCGAGACAGCGGTAGTTGGCTTAAATCGGGCCTGCCCCCCTGCAGGAGGAATATTCAAAAATAGCTAACAAAATTGTCTGGGGACGATTTTTCGATTGTTTTGTTGTCAATTTCCTATTCTTTCTGGACTATTTTTAATTTTTCGTCCGGGGTCCGCCTGTAGGGGGACACGCCCGACCTAAGAGAAGAGGGGGGTGAGGACGTTTCCGTTGGTTTTGTGAGGAAGGTTTCGCTCGCGCTCGGGCTTTTTGCTCGCCATGGGGTGCTTTCCGGCGGCTGCGCCACGTCGAGAGCCTTCAAGGGGTGCCTGGGTCGTCCCGACCCGCCGCTGGATGCCAGAGCTGTGGCCAGAAAACCACCAGGCGTCGAAGAGGGGGGTGAGGACCAGCCCAACCAGACCACGCAAGCCAAGGATTGTGAGCACGCCCCCCGACGATGATGATTGCGCGTTTTCGCTCCTCTTCTTCCTCCTTCTTCTCGGTTAGCTGTTTCTTCTCTTTCCCTTTTGTCCTTCTCCCTCACCTTCCCTCCCCCTCCTCTCCCCTTTTCCTTCCGTCCTGTCCCGTTCTCCCTTCCCCTCCCCCTCCTCCCCCCTCTCCCTCCTTCCTGAGGACGCACCGAGGACCAGGAAAATGTGTGGATCCCACGTCTGGGGCCACCAGGCCTCCCAGATTCTGCGATCCCCCCCGTCGTCCGCGCACGCGCCTCGGACCAGGATGATGCGCAAGAGCCGCCTCTCCTCCCGCCTCCTCCTCCTCCTCCTCCTCCTCCTCCTCCTCCTCCTCCTCCTCCCTGCTCCCTGCTCCCTGCTTCCTGCTCCCTCCTCCCTTCTTCTCCTCCTCCTCCTCCTCCTCCTCCTCCTCCTCCTCCTCCTCCCTCCTCCCTCCTCCCTCGTCCCTCGTCCCTCCTCCCTTCTCCCTCCTCCCTCCTCCCTCCTCCCTCTCTTCGTGGGCCCCCTCCTTCGGCACACCCGACCGGGGTCGTGACCCCGAGTCGCATGCGGTAGGTTCGTGTCGTGTCGACGCGGCGGCGGCACCAGCCGCCAGCGCGAGCGTTCAAGGATGAACGCGGCAAGTGGCCAGAATAGGCCGACATTGAAAGATCAGCGCTATCGGAAAACAGCGACCGTTCAAGGTTGAACGATCCAGGCGGTCAGAGACGAACGCCGACGTCGTCACGACTCGAACCTGCCCTTAATCGCCTTCAAGCGCCCTGGGCGCCATAGACGCTCCAGCCGTTTGAGGTCACACCCATGCCAATGCTCGTCCGCCGCCACCGCTGGCACCAGCGGCGATCTTGGGGCGATGTTGGGACGTCGGCGGGGCCCGAGGGGCATGGCCCAGCCGTCCGCTGTCACGATTGCAGGTAGGAGACAGATAGCACTCCAGAGCGGAGGGTCAAGCCCCGCAGCAGGCTCTGGAGGGCCTCCTCGAAGCGGGGCCCGGGGGTCGTGGCCCGACTGTCAGTTACCACTCGCTGCAGCTGGGACATGGACCCAGACCCCCTCGCGTTGCGAAACATTTCGACACTTTTCGGCCTCGGGGTCTCTTGCCAGGCGCCAGTACAGTCGAAAGGCGACTCAAACCTGTCGCCGGGAAGGGGTTGAGACCTTCAGGGGCCACGCGACTAAAACTCACCATGTCGGGGGTCGTGGGATGGCCCTTCCAGACGTCGGAGGTGCCTCCCAAGGATGCCCCCAAGAAAGCATCGTGATAAACACATCAGGTTGTTCAAGCTCCGTTAGGCACATCTCCCCTCTTCCTACTCGCTCATTTCTCATTCCTGCCTCTTTCAGGTTGTCTCCTTCCTCCTGCCTCTTTCCTCCTGTCTCCTCCCTCCTCTCTCACTCCTCTCTCCTTCCTCCCTCTTGCCTCCTGCCTCTTACCTGGTGTCTCCTGCTTCATGCCTCATCCCTCCTCCACGCTCGTCACAAGCCCTTTTGGCTCAAGGTGGCTCAAGCTTTCATGTGTGTTCGCACCAGCTAGATCCATACAGTTCAGCACTTCTTCTGAGCAAGTCGACGCATGGACGTGCTTCGTCCCTTGGTTGTCAGTCTGGCTGCGACATCGGCTGCGAGTCCGTGTCCGAATCCGAAGGACCCGAAGAAGCAGAAGAGCAAACATGAGACGGCGTTGTGGAGGTCGAGGCGATCGACGTGGACGAGGATAACCAGGAGGAGGAGCCACCAGCATGGGCAGTAAGCCAGGGCAAGATCTTGAATAAGCTTGTGAGCACGGGGCAGGGCCTGAAAGTGAACATGTAGGAGATGAAGGAGGATATCGCAGAGGTTAAGGAGGAGGTCGCAGACGTTAAGGACGAGCTTAGCACGAACACGCCTTAGGCGAGCATGGCGAACGCTGCTGCCGATGAGGCCATGGCTCGCGTGGAGGCCGTGGAGGAGCATGTGAATGATCTGAGCGCCAGACAAACGACGTACGCAAACATGGAGCGACTGGCTCCAGGAAGGTCTCCAGAAGCCAGAAGCGTCTATCCTCAGACCAGCTGCACCTTGCTTTCTCTCTTCCTCTTCTTCCTCCTCCTCCTCCTCCTCCTTTTTCTCCTCCTCCTGCTCTTCCTCCTCCTCCTTCTCCTCCTCCCTTTCCTCCTCCTCCTCCTCCTCCCTTCCGCACGAAGGCGGAGGTGGAAATCATGACTGCCGAGACGGTGGAAATCCTCCTGGGCTCGGTGGCGAAGGGAGGCGGGCAGGAGGCGGAGGAGCAGGACAAGCTCGCGCGCACTGCTGTGACCAGGGGCTTCGGGATGGACGCGGGGAAGAATAAATGAGTGCCTTGTGGTATAGTGTTTGGAGGGATCTCTTATTTTCAGGGTTCCCCGCGTTCGAATCCCCTGGTCTGTGACTCTTTTCGCTGCCCCCAGGGCATGCAATCCGCCGCCTTGGCCCCGCCTGGGCTGTTGGACAGGGCAGCTGGTGCAAAATGCCTGCCCGTCGCCTCGCTTGCCCCTCAGGAAGTGATGGTATCCGTCGACAAGCAGTTCATCACGAACGTGAAGGGCGTGGAGACCTACGGCAATCAGTTCGGGAGCGTGGGGTTCGTGAGGTTCACCAGCCTGAGCTGATGTACATGTTCTTACGGAAATCCAGCAGCAAACCAAAGCAATCGGTAAGCATACGATGTGGGTTTCTGTTTCGAGAAGCCCGGAAGACCGCGCAAAAGGGAAGGCGCGTGGGAAGTACAAGAGGTTCCGAATCGAAATGGGATGGGCGCCGGCTGACAAGGTGGGGATCCTTCTCGCAGGAGAGGCGTCATCCTCGTGAGCCGGCAGCAGTCTGGGGAGTGGAGGATGGACGGCGGCTGCGGCCGAGTCCAGCTCGACCCGGACAGCCTACAGCGGGCGGGAGTCCAGGCCGAGGCGAAAGTGGTCGACGAGGCTGCCCTGGCTGCCTTTGCGGGCCTGGGGTTTGCCTTCCGCAGAGACCAGCGGCGGCCCGCCGCGCACCAGTTGGAGGGGGATTCCAGATAAGATCTCTGAATGTGATGACGCTTTTCAATTCATAATTCTGCAGTACAGTGCCCATCCATTAAATGATGCATGTTGAAGATCGTGTCCGCCGCTGTCTAGCAGAGGATATGTAGAGAGCAGCGCTGGGACCCTTCTGTTTTCATTGAGACCTGGAATTAGGAGCCGGAAGATGCCTGGGAGCTAGAGGAAGGCCACCATTGGTTTGGGAGTGGAGGGACGTCGCGCTCATATTGGGTCGGGTTTTTTGCTACACCAGCGTTGGGAGTACACATGTTTCCAGCCAGTTTTAACCAGCGTGCCGGCGCTGGATCTGCCCATAATTCGTTTTGGCGCCATCCGCACAGCGCCTGCCCGCATGCTTCGCGCAAAGATTTCTGAGGAAGACGTGGAGTCAGTAGTTAAATGCCCAGATGGAGGCCCAGTGCCAGGCAGCACGCGCAAAAAGGACTCCACGTGATCTTCGCCTGAAATTTGCACGCTTAAGTAGGGCCGCGCTCAGATTACGATGACAAGGAGGTCGTCGGTCAAAACCCTATGCCGCAGCGAAGCGACGAGGGGCACGACGCTAGTGCATTGGTCAGATCTTCATGGCTACGCCACTCTTAGTAGTTTTTATTAGTACCACATTCGATGATGCTTGGACTTGTGAACAACGCGAATCGCACATGTCAGCTCGATTGCGCTCTTGTGCAGAAGAGAACTCATGGTTCTAGTGTCATCCTGCGCGCCATTCCGCTGTTGTTGACGTTGGTTCCGATCATGGACTGGTCCGCCTCGATCTGAAGCTGCCGCGAGATTCCCAGGCAAGATCAGGCAGGAAAGTAATTGTTGCCACTTTTGGGTTCCTCAGGGTTGAAAATTGAGGAAGCATCAGGCGGGGGCCTCGTCTGTGAGTAAATTGCGAAGAAGTCGCAGGCGGGGCCCCCCTTCCCTATGGGGCCTGCGCTCCCTGTTGGTAATCCGATCAGGCCAGATCCCGTTCCTGATTGCCGAACGTCGTCGTTTGCAAGAATCAGATCTTCCTGCGTCGCCAGAGAAGGCAATCCGCAAGAATTGGGGCGAACAAATTCACAATTTCATACGCCAAGACGATCCTGGTCGACTTCAAAGGAGCGAAGAACCTAGGGGGCATGACGGGGAACCGCGTGCGCGACCATGTCGTTGCCATGAAGGGCCTGGGCGGCACGCTGCTGCGCGAACGCGCAGACATCGCCGAGTTGTTTGCGATTTTCTTCGCCAGCCTCTACGCGAGCACCAGATAAGGTTGCATGCGGGCACGTCTACGGCGGGCAATCTGGCCACGTGACTCCCCCGTTCGCGCGGGGGGAGTTCGCCACTGCATTTTTGGATCGGGAGGAGAGGCAAGTCGGCGGGTGATCGAGGCGTGCGTGCAGATATCGCAGAGGTAGACTCATCGATCTTGCGCGAGGTCACCCTTGAAACTTCCAACCATCTCTTAACGCAATTCCTGAATTGCCGACAGATTGGTTATCGTCCAGAACTTGTGTTCTCCACGAGAAGGGGGGCGCCTCGCCCGCGTCGAAGTACAGGCCCGTCGCGATCCTCGCCGTTTTGTGCATGCTCGCTGGGCTGATTTGCAGCAGACTGCGGAACGACGCTTTCCAGCAGCAATCCGTCGACCAGGCGGGTAACCGCCTGATGCGCGCAACTTTCTTGCATGAGGCCATGAGGGATCAAATTTGTAGCTGTGGGTTGGCGTGGTAGACTTCGAAGAGGCTTTCGACGCGGTGGAACGTGACTCCCTTTGGTCAGCGTTAGAGAAGCAGAATGTCCGGCCAGAGTGCATTGATCCATTGTGACGGCTGTGTGTAGCACCTCGGTGCCAGGCGCGTTGGTGAATGCTGTTGCGTCGCTGTCGACGACGCGGCGACCCCCGTGAGCTAGCCGAGGTTCGCCGGCGACTCGACGTCGCGCTCCTGCTGAATTCCAACCAGAGAGAGATGTGGGCCCCGTGATATTGGATCTGGAGACCGAAGCCAATAAGGAAAGCCTTAGACTGCGCGTGGGCAAAACCGCGGTGGTGTGCAGCGACGAGGCCGGCAACCGTCTGAGGCGGCGGAAACGACGTGCGAGTGCTGCAGCAGGAAAGATGCGGAAACATGTATCGGCCGCGCGTTCACACTGGACGACTACCACGAGGAGGGGCTGGGCAACGGCATCTCGTCTTGATGGGCATCTTTCTGCAGCCAGAACAGAAGAATTACTAAGCAATCGAAGCGTGCCTCTGCGTGATCGCATAAGGCTTTTTTTCTCTCTGCCGTCGCGCCCTGCGCAATGTGCGATTGCGCTGCCCGGGCTTTTGCAGTCGAGCAGGAGAGGCGCCTTCGCGAAACGCAGAGGAAGATGCTGCGCCCATTGCTCGCCCAGCCAGACGAGCAATGGGCTGGGCGCGCATGCAGAGCAACGCGCGCGTGCGAGTCATTTACAGGGGGGCGCCGGGCCCAATACTTGCTTCCTCTGGAAGAGCAAATGGTCGGCTGCACCACAACATGACGATTGGGCGCGCGTCTGATGAAGTGGGCGCCGGAGTTTCGAGTGCGCGCGCGACGAAGCGTATGGGGCCCAGCGCAAACGCTGGTGCGGTTGATGCAGTACAGTCGACCCGCATAATAAGGATGGGCGACCTTCCCAAGGTAACCCTTGCATCCTTGTCCCTTCGGCCCATCCGTAGCGACTTTCGCTGGCCGCGCCACGTTCGCAAAGCTTCGACATGGATGTCCAATGCCCTTGCATCCGTATCGCGTATCCTGATGATGCGTGCTCTCCCTGTCGTGCCCGTGGATATTGCCCATCCCTTTTGGGGGGGTCGGGCCACGCCCCGTGGCACTCCCAGGGTGGCTTGTCCTCTCTTGCCCGCCTGCAATGTCCATTCGGCACCTGTCCGTGCGCCTTTGCCGAGTGTCACCTTCAGTATGTTTCACACCACGCAGATCCTGTTTCAGGCCCGCCGCATTGGTGGGGAAGGGGGCCCGCGCCGCCTCCCTGCGGGCCAGTGTTCTGTTTTGTTCCTTCGCGCTTGTTCCTCGTCCTCATCCCGAGTCCGTCTTCGCTCTTCTTGCCTCATGCCCCCGCTTCCTGCTTTGAGCTGCCTTCCTCCTACCTCCTCTTGCCTATTCCATCCAGATTCCTTTTTCCCTCTTTCATCC